ACATTAAATTCCAGGACAAGCCCAGAGCCCCCAGGGCTCCCGATAAAGCCAGCAAGGATTTCATCAACCAGGCTTTCTGGTCACGTAGCACTGCACTGACTGTTTCAAAAAAGAAAAGTGTCCCAACTTCAGAGAAGGACTAGCAACACGGAAGCTGAAGGAACAGAGACCCAGAGAGCAGGACGGGTCCCGTCACAGCCGGCCAGGACTTGCCACTCCACTGCGTTTTATCGTCTGCTTTCAGCCATAGCACGTTTACTGATGTTTTTCCTGTAGAAGCTCAACTAAGATCTCAGTGCTGTGATCTTTGTGAGTGGAGAGCTGTCCAGAATCGGCCCAGATGGTACCTTCAGAGCCACTCAAAGAACCCCTGTTTTAGAAGCTATGCCCTGATAACTACTTCTATCATGGGAAATAAACATTTTTAAAAGAGATCTTTACAAATGTCCCACTACCAAATCCAAATCACAGCAGCAGGTCACCGTGTGTTGGCCGTTGTTGAAACTCACATGGTCTCCTGTTGCTGCAGAAGGACGTGTTTCCGGAGCATGAAAGTGATGGCAAGGGTCATCCCGAGAGGGGGACATGCCGGCACTGAGGGGCACTCTGGACAGGCCAGGGGGCAGGAGGACCCTTAACACACCGAAGAACAGGCTAGTTTCCAAAACACGAGAGGTAGCAAGTGTTGGTGAAGACATGGCGAGAAAGGAACCCGTGAGCACCGTTGGTGGGAATGCAAGCTGCTGCGGGCACTGTGGAGAACGGGGTAGGTTCCTGCAGAATTGAAGTAGGACCACCGTGCGGTCCAGCAATTCCTCTCCTGCGTGTTTATCCTGAAGAAATGGAAACAAGACTGGGGAAAGCCTGCAGCGCCACGTTCACTGCAGCATTATTCACAGAAGCCAAGATACAGAAACGACTAAGTGTCTATCTGTGATGAATGGGTAAAAAATGTGACATGTATTTATTCTGTTATATGTGTATTCCACTATATACATAATAAGAGGTAGCCTCATGGCTCAGATGGTAAGGAATCTGCTTGTAGTTCGGGAGACTGGGTTGGGAAGATCCCCTGGAGAAGGGAATGGCTACCCACTGCAGTATTCTTGCCTGGAGAATCCCATGCACAGAGCTTGGCGGGCTACAGTCCACGGGGTCTTGAAGAGTCAGACACAACCGAGCAACTAACACGCACACAACATACATGATATTACATATTCTACCACATATGCTATATATTATAGCTATTCCACTTTATATTATATTATATGAAGTTATATATATGTTTATATTATATAACTATAATATATTGCAATGTAATATGATTAAATACAACTTTATATTATATAGCATATTTGACGGAGAGGGCAATGGCACCGCCCCAGTACTCTTGCCTGGAAAATCCCGTCGACGGCGGAGCCTGGTGGGCTGCAATTCGTGGGGTCACTAAGAGGCGGACACGACTGAGCGACTTCACTTTCACTTTTCACTTTCATGCCTTGGAGAGGGAAATGGCAACCCACTCCAGTGTTCTTGCCTGGAGAGTCCCAGGGACAGCGGAGCTGTTTGTTGGGTCGCACAGAGTCAGACACGACTGAAGCGACTTAGCAGCAGCAGCAGCAGCAGCATATTTGATATTTAATTATGTTATAAATAGATTACATTATACTATATTATGTATTGTTATTGTTCAGTCACTAAGTTGTGTCCAACTCTTTGCAAACCCGTGAACTACAGCACGTCAGGCTTCCCTGTCCTTCACCATCTCCCAGAGTTTGCTCAAACTCATGTCCATTGAGTTGGTGATGAACCATTTCGTTCTCTGTTGCCTCCTTCTCCTCCTGCCCTCAATATTTCCCAGAATCAGCGTCTTTTTCAATGAGTCACCTCTTCACATCAGGTGGCCAAAGTATTGGAGGTTTAGCTTTAGCATTAGTTCTTCCAAGCAATATTCAGGGTTGATTTCCTTTAGGATGGACTGATTGGATCTCCTTGCAGTCCAAGGGACTCTCAAGAGTCTTCTCCAGCACCACAGTTTGAATGCATCAGTTCTTCAGTTCTTAGCCTTCTTTATGGTCCAATGCTCACATCTGTACATGACTACTAGAAAAACCATAGCTTTGACTATATGGACCTTTGTCAGCAAAGTAATATCTCTGCTTTGTAATACGCTGTCTAGGGACTATTATATGATACTATATAAAGTGAAATATATATAATATATAGCATATGTAGTGGAATATATAATAATGTTATGTATATAGTGGAATATACATATAATAGAATATATACATATCACATTTTTTTAATCTTTTCATCACTGACAGACTGCACATTTCTGTACCTTGGCTACTGTGAATAAAGCTGCAATGAATGTAATGAGGTATATCCTACAGTATACATTCCACTATTTATAATATTGTGTGTTATATATAATATATTCCACTATATATACTTCACATATTTCACATATATAATATTAGTAATATTATATAATGATATTAGATAATATTCTATATATTTCACTATATATATAATATTCCACCATATATAATATTATATATTCCACTACATATATTCTACTATATGTACCTTTATATATTATATAATACATATATTCTACTATACATAGTATTATGTATTGTATATAATACTATATATGTTATATATATATATGTGGGGTTCCCTAGTGTCTCAGTTATATTATATATCCTACTATATACACTTAGGACATCCTGGTGGCAAGATGGTAAAAGCATCTGCCTGCAATGCGGGAGACCCAGGTTCGATCCCTGGGTCAGGAAGACCCCCTGGAGACGGAAATGGCAACCCACTCCAGTATTCTTGCCTGGAGAATCCCATGGACAGAGGAGCCTGGCGGTCTACAGTCCACAGGGCCACAAAGAGTCGGACAGGACTGAGCGACTTCATGTTCACTTTCACTATATACGCCACTAAATAATGTTATGTATTATATACATTCCACCATATAAATAAGATTCCACCTAGATACAGGTACAGATACAAGTGCAGGTATAGAGAGAGGAAGGCTTTTCGTGGTGGAAGGAAGGAAATCCTACCACTGGGACGGCACGGAGCGACCTCGAGGACGCTGAGTTCAGGGAGTCGGTGTGAGAAAGACAGCCTGCACGGCTGGCCTCACAGCTGGGATCTCAGGACACTGAACTCAGACTCAGCAGCCTGTGGTTTCCGGAGATGGTGGATGCGGCGGGCTGGCATGGGTGAAGGTGATCAAAGGTACAGACCTCCAGCTTTAAATGTGAAAACAGAAACGTCTCTTTCAAAAAGCGTTGAGAACCAGCTAGAGGTGTGAGGTGCTTGTTTCAGCCTGAGATCAGACACAGTCAGTCACTAAACTGCAATGAGAGAGGAAGGCCTGGAGCCGGACACCCCATAAGTGTGGCTGAGAGTCCGGGGAGCGGCCTCCATGGTCTCGGCTCAGCGAGGCCCGCGTGGCCTGGGGAGTCTGACCCCTGCAGGTCGGGGCCTCTGCGTGTGTGCACCCCGAGGAGGGGACACCTCTGGGTCACCGTGGGCTGGCCATGTGCCCCAGCTCACCGTGACCGCCATCTCCCGTTGTGTGCGCGGCACAAGCAGGTCGCGTTGGCGGCGCTTCCCCACCGGAGCCACAGCAGCCACTCTCTGCAGAAGAGCGAAACTTAGAGAGCCAACGTCGCAGCCTTCTCTGTCCGCACAGCACAGTTCTGAGCAGGCACATGGCTCCCCCTTGGAAGGGGACGTCCGGGGAAGGGGGACAGCTGGAGACAGCCCGAGGTTGGGGATCAGAGGGCTAGCGGTGGGGCTCCAGGACAGCGTACCCCCGGAAAGACCTGGGCGGCCCTGGCCCAGGCCCCCACACCTGGCTGAAAACCATAGTTACAGCCGTAACCTCTCTTTCCCTGTTGCCATGAGTGGGGAAAACGTCTTACTGGCAGAAAACTGAAATTCAAAAACGCTTTTTCCTCCAGCTGGCAGGGGAAGAAGAAGTTTACAGGCTATAACCAGCAGGCCCTCTTCTCACAACTGCAGTCCAGGCATGTTACAAAGCAATGCTTAGCTGCTAGACCTGAAGCTGAGATGGAGCAGCTACGCCCACCAACACACAGAACATGGAGTCAGGCCTCGTGCTCTGGACCCCTGCGCAGGGCATGTGGAGGCCATCGCTGAGTTTATGCTGGGACTGATGGAGCCTGTTCTCAGTGGGGGAGGCCGGTGTCCTCCAAGTAGAAGGTTCTGGAAATGGGCAGAGGGGTCACCCAGTAGTGTGGGTGGTGGGCGCATGCCCAGGCTGATGCTGCCTAAGCAAAACTTCTGGAGCCCCCGTGCGCCCGAAGGGGGGTGATGGGGGACAGGAGGGAGCGCCCTGGGCTGAGCCCCCGTCACATGGGCTCTGGTGGGTCTTGCTGATCCGGGTTTTCCCTCCCGGAACCAGGGGGCTGGGAGCACCCCCCGCGGCCCAGCCGCCCAGAGGCCACTCGGCTCCTGTCCGCCTTTTTGTTTACACTGGGGACACAATGGGAGCCGCAGTCCTTCCAATACATCATTTATAAGTGTATTCTACCTCTGAATGTACAGACAGAGCTGGCTGTGCGTGAATAAGCCCTGTGAATATTGCCAAGACACTGTGCTTTGTTCAGCATTATTCTTCACAATAGACACCACACTTTGGAAGTAATTTTAAAAAGGGAATCAAAATAGTGGTACTTTTAGCCTTTGTTTCTTTTATACCACACTGCATTCTCTGTCTCTCATTCAGCCGCTCCCATTATCCTGACAAATTAAATAAACCACTCCAGTGCAGAAAGGCTCGGGCAGGCAGGACTTCGCTCCAGTGCAGTCCCGGGAAGTCGAAATAAACATTGAGGCGGTTTCTGCTAGCCCTTTCGGCTCACTTTAGCTGGGGGGGAGAAAAGTCGGGGGGACTGGAGGCTTGGAGCCGGCCAGCAGCGCCCAGAGCCGGCCTCCGCGGCAGGCGACGGATGGGCGGAGAGGCTGCGGTTCCAGGGAGCCGAGCACCCGTCCTGCTGGGCGGCTGGGAGCCGGACAGGTGAGTCCCAGGAGCGCGGGGCAGGCTCGGGGCTCCAAGGAGCTGCCGAGCCGCTGACCACTCTGCAAGGTCCAGACTCCCCTCCTGCAAGCATCTTGGCGTGTCTCTTCTTTCTGGAAGGCATGATTTACTCATTCATCTCCTGAGCCGCTCCCTAAGGAGGGTCAGTGGGGGCCAGGTGTGGGCAAGCTCCTCTCTGTCTCTCTCAAACTCTACTCCACTTATAGCAGGTTTCGGTCTGCTACAGACCCCATCTGTTTTTGAAATTCAAGTCCTGGAGGAACCGAGGATAGGATTTTTGAGTGCAGGCTTCGTTTTGGTCTTCTCGAGGTCCCAAGGAGCCATGAATACCAGCTTTAGAAGGTGTCTGTCTAGCTTTTGGCCTGAAAACATTTTTATTTTTGCAGGAGCAGAAAGACAAAAAATTTACTTTATAGTAGAGAAGGAAGCTGTTTCAAATTAACAGCTGATTTTTTTTTTTAAGACACAAATTCACTGAAACAGAATGCACACTGGAGCCCACAAAAATCTGGGTTTGTCCTTGTGAGTGAGGCCCAGAACGCAGTGTCGGTCTTGAAGAGCGGCTCTGGCTTGACCTGGGAAAAGTGCTGTGAATGTTGTGAAAGTTACCTTCTGAGGCTGTCCTGGGACCCCACGCCCCTCCCCTCTGGCCCCCACCCACTCTTAACAAAACAGGGGAGTTGGTGGAAAAGCCTGAGTCCAGAGAGCTGGTTGTCAGGGGCCTCCGAGGCGGCCAGATTCCTCATGAAAACAGAGCCAGTAAATGCCAGTCACGGCAAAGGCTTTGAAGCCTGCAGCCACCAGCTAGGATGACCTCATTGAAAATGCACGCTGTCCCAGGCCTGGGGTGGGAACTCTGTGTTCCAGCAGAGGCGTCCCCCGGCTTCCGAGTCAGAGGCCACCGCAGGCAGAGGGAAATATTGAGCTGGAGGAGTTTGAACAGAACCATCGGGGTTCATCTTTTATTACCAAAGAAAGACTTGAAAAAGCCCAGGTGAAATTTCCTTCCATTGTCTAGGGAAATTCTCTGTAATTTGCCCCCAGGGAAACCCAAGTGCCTCGCGGCCGGGCCCTCTCCACCCCTGCGTCCCCCGCTCCCCCGGCTCAGCGTAAATGTCTCCGGGGTCCCTGGAGGATGGTGCGGGTGAGCGGGGGACGCTGAAGGTCAGGGTTGCCCACTGTGGCCTGACTTTTAAGCTAAAGAGGTTTTTCTTTCTCCTGTGGCCATGTCAGGTCTAATTTGGCGGCATTATGCTGAAGGGGCGGGCCTGCTCCTGACAGGAGGGGGTTAAATGAGATTACAAGCTTCAGAGTCTGTCAGCGGCTCCCACTGCCTGGGATGTTAAATTGCGATTTAATGGTCAGCTTTATCTGTGGAGCATCAGTGGAAATCTGCTGTTTTCAGCAACTTAATTGGCACTGTGTGTGCAGGAGTTTTTTCGGGGAGGTGGGAGAACTGACCAGATTTTACTGCTGAATTATTTAGAGATCACACTGGCAGAATGTCAGTGGAAATGTGTGGTGCGTTTTGTTTTTCTGGAGCACGGAGAGCTTATGAATGGGCAAGATGCTGGGATTCTGCTGCGATACCCGAAACTTTTCTAAAAATATTCCTGGGCTCCGATGTAGTTTATTTAAGGACGGGATAAACAAAGAGTAACAGTTGCTACCACAACATATGTGTGCTGCCTGGTTGCCAGCGGGGCTGTGAGAGTGTGCAGACAGAGAGGCAGGGACGGGTGCTGGCCTTTCCGAAATTTCAGCAGACGGCATCCGTGTGGAGCTGAGTCTTCTGGGCTGGCGTACAGGTGAATCACAGGTGACTCAGGTGTGTGCACACGTGTGCACGCGTGCAGGATGGCATGTAATCCGTGTCCAGCACGCCGGTTGGTCCCCGCGTGTCAAAGTCGCCTGCGGAAGGCGGAACTGCACAGACACCCTGTGGATGCCCCATCCCGTCCTCCCGCAAACCCATCAGTTACCTCGGGCTCCAGCCAAGCGGCGCAGGCCGGAAGGCCCCTGAACAGTGTTTCCAGCCAGGGAGGGGGTGCGGTGCCCTCTTCGGATCACCTGCAGGGGAGCGTGCGCCCATCGGAGGGGCCCGCGGCCTGGGCGCCGGTGACGCTTGAGGGAGCGCAGGTGTTGGGGTGCGCACTGGGGTCGGTGGGGCCACGCGAGGGGTCGCAGGGGAGAAAAGGCGGAAGGACAAGAGAAGACAGAGAAAGTGCTTTTCCGGCAGACAGCCGCATTGTCTGCTCCCAGGGAGGGTCAGTCCGCAAAGTGCAGGATTAGTAAATTTAATATCCTGTCAAAATTCTCATGATAATGAGTCCCAGCCAGCCGCGGGCACGGCCGCCTCCGCGCTGCAACCGGAGAGATAGCGGCGCTCGATCGCTGGCAGGAGACCGTGCCGGGCACCCAGACCCGCGCGCCCTGGGCCGGTCACACGGCGCGGCGGGCCCGGTTTTCCCTAGGAGAACGGGGGGGGAAGGCCTCACAGGAAAATCTAGTTCTAAGACGATCGCTTGCCAGCCCGTCTCCGTGATCCAAAGCGAGCCTAGACGGATGGGCAGGAGAGTCCCAGAGCCGGGGAGAGGCAGGCAGGAGAGGGCAGGCTGGCCGTGGCTGCCTCCCGGGGGGACCGCGCGGGCGGCCTGCAGGCTGCAAGGGTGAAGCGAGCTGCGATGGGCCCAGCGAGGAGCACAGAAACGACACAGTTCCTGTGCAATTTGTTCAAGGCGCTGCACCTCTCTAAGCAGCTGTCAGATCCGTGCATTATGGCGCATTGAATCTGAATGAGGCTCTCAACATCAAAACCTTGCCTCCATTATGATATCATCTCCCGCTCTAAGCCGTAATGCTTATTAATTCTGCACCCATACTCCCCGGCTCCAGCAAATGTATTCCATCAGCCTAGCATTTAATTTAATTAGTACAGCTGGGCTCTCATTCTCCTTTCTGTGTCAGAGGCATTGTCAGCACGGTCTGCTGTAACACAATTACTGATTGCCTTTAGATAGGCAGAAATATGATTAGGGTATTGGGTGACTGTATCATAAGCCTTATTAGATTCATTTGAAATCTGGAGATAAATAGGAAACTTTTATTTGCAGTGTAATGAGATTATGCTTATTAGGCCAAGACCTCACAGCCTTTTGCAGAGAACACTGTATCAGCCGGATTATACTCTGGGAACACATTCCCGGCTCCCGGCACCCGAGCCATTTCCGAGCCTCCGAGACTTCCGTGTTGTCACACTGGAGTCGTCTGGGGATTAAGGCCACCCCGGATCTTCCCGGTGACAAAGAGTCCCAGAGTCCCTTTTCCTTCTCAGAGTCTGATGGAGTACACGCATTTTGATATGGAATTTCACTTTGCTAGAAACATTTTGAAAAATCGGTACACAGGCTAAGAGAAATTATACTTTTAAACGTATTTATTTGCTTTTAAGGATGTTTGCATTTATTACATGTCGCTTACAGAGATTGGCATGTAATGAATGTCGGAAAAATCCCTGGTGCTCAATCTCTAAAACATTTATCACTGCTGTTATTGTTTTGATAACAGCTAGTACAATTCCAGAAACATTTTTTTTTTCCATTGGCATTTATTTGATCGTCTCAAATTTCTAATATTTGTGGAGGGTTCAGGCAGGAATTTTATCCTACCTAGAATATGAACAGCGTGGAGCTATCATGAAAGGGCTGGTATGACTTAAAGAAGTCTACTGAAACAGAGAGCATCAAGATGGCAACGTATTTAACTGAGCCGAAACTTGTCAAATATGCCTGTTAGTTTTAAAATAAAGTGCTTTTATACCCAAGGAAAATGATGGTGATTTCTCTTGGACACAAAAGTGTTGAAATGATATAAATGAATTTTGCTTTAGGAAAATCCAAGGTGTAAAATCTAAATTTGCAAGCTACGTGCAGCAGCTTTAAACCACGAATCCTCTCCCGTATGACTCCCCTCTAACCCCACTTCATTTTTATCAGATAGTTTATAGCATCATTTGATTCAAATGAATCTAAGTAGATAATTTTCATGAGTTCACTAATTGCATAAGTCCTCTATGTACAATGAATGTGCTTTGGCGTGAATGTCCACAAAACAAGGAGCACATGCTTCTTGATTAAATATGTGATCAAATCAAGATACATAGAAAAGGAAAACCTATGCTGGCTCACCCGAACTGAAAGCTAAGGAGATGGAGGCCGTGACAGGGAGAGTGAGGCTTCTTGCTTAATGGGCACTTCACTTCCGTTTGGGGTGAGGGAAAAGTTTGGGAAATATGGTGATGGTCCAACAATGGTGGGAATGTCATTACTGCCACTGAATTGTACACTTAAAAATGGTTAAAATGCCAGATTTTATATTCTAAATGTTGCACAACAGCAGAAGAAAAAAGGAATGGAGGAGGCAGGTCTGTGGTGTGAGTGACAGGTCACGGGCACCTGTCAGTGACTCGATGCTCCAACCCTTGGATTTAATGACTGGTGGATTTTAAGCCCCGATTTATGGAGCTCTGAATCGTTCCTGCAAGTTTGGTTTTGACATTTCCTCTCAAATAAAGTATCAGGCACTCTAGTGAAGACACACGTTGTCTCCCCAAAATGATCCACAAGGAGGATCTCACTTGGCCTTGGCGACCATTCTTGGTGGCGTCATTTGTACTCAGAATTAGGGTTGTCTGACTCTGTTCAAGGAGCTGGTATTCAGGGAAGGACTAAATGAGTAAGTAGTGAAGAAGCATCAACACGTGTTGGTGACATCTTTCTCCAGCGGTGCAGAGGAGAGTGCTGACTCTCCAGCTGCCCACCACCGCCTTTCGTCAGCCTCAGAGAGGCGTGTTTGACACATGAAACCACCATCTATTGTAGCTGTTCATCATGGTGACTTGCTATCTATATATGAGCTGTGGAGGGCCTCCCCCATCTAGTTCATTATCAAGCATCACCTCACATATTTATTTTTTGGGGGGACGTGAGAACCTTGAAGTTCAGCTCCCTTAGCAAATTTCTGTATAACGCAGCGTCATCAGCAGCGTTGCATCAGACGCGGGGACCTTGTCCACCTTAGGCCAAAGTCTGTGCCCTTTGACCTGCCTCTCCCCACCCTTCCCCGTCCACTGCCGTCCGTGCATGCTGTGAAGTGGAGGCGGGATCTAAGGTCTGCGAGGGGAATGGGGTAGGCCTGCAGGGGCATCACAGTCGGAGGGAGCTCTCTGCACCCACCTCGTCCTACCCAGCCTTCCCCAAACCCCCTCCTCTCGGGGGCATGGCACTCCCAACCCTCTTCCTCCCTAGGGCTCGGTTCAGTTCAGTCGCTCAGTCGTGTCCGACTCTTTGTGACCCCATGGACTGCAGCACGCCAGGCCTCCCTGCCCATCACCAACTCCCAGAGCTTGTTCAAACTCATGTCCATCGAGTCGGTGATGCCATCCAACCATCTCATCCTCTGTCGTCCCCTTCTCCTCCCACCGTCAATCTTTCCCAGCATCAGGGTCTTTTCCAGTGAGTCAGCTCTTCACATCAGTTGGCCACAGTATTGGAGTTTCAGCTTCAATATCAGTCCTTCCAATGAACACTCAGGACTGATTTCCTTTAGGATGGACTGTTTGGATCTCCTCGCAGTCCCAGGGACTCTGGGGTACAGCACCCCCAACCCTCTTCTTCCCTGGGATACGGCACTTGCATGGCGCCTGACCCTGTCAGAGGTGCTAGATTTGCTCCAACATCAAATCATACCATATGCAATTGCTGTTGTTTTTTAATTTAACTAAATATGTGAGACACTGAAATATGAGTGCAAAAAAACCATAAAGAATATTTTTCTATGGAAATTAAAGTGAGTATTTAGGAAAGACCAGATAAAACCAGTTGTTTTAAAGTATATAGAATTACTGCTTCTCTGGCAGCAGGCAGCCAAGGTGCAGAGGGCAGTCGAGCAGGCACGGCGGGCCGCAGCTGGGCGGACACAGCAGAGCGCTGGTGCCAGAGCACGCAGCCTCATCAGTAGGCAGCACTTTCCGCCTTGGTGTGTGTGAGCACACAGAAGTGACGTGAGGACCGAAGACCATGCTCTGACCACGCTCTCCTGGGTTACGTGGACAGGCATACTCTTGCCCGACGTGGTCCGCGTCGAGAAGCTGTCTGCCAGCCAGAGGCCTTGAAGGGAAGAGAAGGCCTCCCAGGGGAGCATCTCCGCTGATGAGCAAGTCTGACTCTACCAGCTGGAGTTCGGGAGCTCTGCTGACGTGGACGGGCCCACGGACAAGCGGGGGGCGGTGCTGGGCCCTGCCCGCTCGTCCTCAGCTTCTCGGCACCCCTGTCACCCGGAGAAGCACTGTGGGCACATCTGCACACCGTTGGGGGGCGGCCAAGCAGACCAAGAGGACGCGCGGGGTGAAGGCAGCCCCATCCAGGGCTGCTCGGCCGAGCGGGACTACGGCCCGGATGAGCCGGAGAAGTAAGGCCACGCCTGCCCCTCACCTGGGCCGGCCCCTCCACGCCGCTCCACACGTCTCCTGGAGGTCCTGTCCCAGCACCAGTGCTAATAAATGAGCGGTTTATGTGGGGAAAAAAAAAAAAGAATCACTTGTAGCTGAGATCAGTATCAGTTATTGGTGGATAGGTACCAATAGGTATCTTTGAAACCTAAGAATCGACGTTCAGATTGCTTCATAAGCAGTTTAAACTAATTGGTTCATTTCAAACAAACACAAGGGATGCATTATAGATAGAAGCTGTGTGCACAACCGAAAGGACTATGAAACCCCCTCAGCAGCAGCTTTGACCTTACCTCAAAATAAGTACATCAGTTGCGTTCAAAGTTTCAGGCATAAATCTGGATTTTTTTATTCCTTATTATACACTCTTTTCTGATTACCCACTAATCCCCAGCCCCAACGCTTCAGCCAGAGGAGCCCTGAGCCGGGCGAGGGGTCTGGAGGAGATGGGAGGGGCTGTCTGTGCGGTGACCACTCAACTGTAGTTCTGACTCCAAGGAATTTGTTGGGGGGGCTCCGAAGGGGTTCCAGACATTTGCCGTTGGGGTAGAGTGAACAGGTGTGCATAGGTGAATGCCAGACAGGAGTGTAAGTGACAGGACAGATCCTTTCATGGTGGCCGTAGGATGGGACAGAGGGTTGGCGTGGAGCAGAGGCGAAGGGAGGAGACGTCTCACACTTTCTCGGGCAGCTTGGGAAAACGCATGTCCAACCGTCCCGCACATCCCAGTCCTCCCTTCGCCTCCCTAACCAGCCTCAGGACATTAATGGGTGAGTTTCAGAGAGAGATCACTCAACCCATGAAAGAGCAGAAAGCATTTTACTCAGCAATGATGCATTTCACAGAGAGCCTGCACTTCTCCGGCACCTCTTCAACAAAGCCGACCGAACCTGAGGTGCGTCCTCTGAACTCGATGCCAGAGGCTGCCGTTCCAGCCTTGCTTTATCGGGGAAGCACTTGGCGATTTGTTGCTCCTTTCTCCCTGAAATGAGTTGGCAGCCTCCTTGTGTTTCTGACTATGGAAATCCACCTTGCTGGCGGGCTCGGCAGGGGCAGGGACTGGACCACCGCAGCACAAAGAGCCCTGATCGCCCAGAGAGCCAGGGACGGTGCAGGGGGCAAGGTTGGCCGTGGGGAAAGCTGGGCTTGGTGTGGACTCCGGGGCCGACCCTGCAGGAGCCCGGGGCAGCTTTCAAGCCCTGGCAGATGCCGCCCTGCTCTGGGCCTGTTTCACCAGGCCCTCCTGCGGGGAGGCCGCACACGCAGAGAAGGCCCCTGGCAGCGCCAGCAGAAGGCAGGGTGAGCACCACGGCTCTGGGTGTGAAGGGCAGCGCCTGGCCTGGCCTGGCTGTCGGGCGTAGGGACCGGGGTGGCCAGGGGCTGTGCCCACAGCACTGCTTGCCTTGCACTGAGGGTCTGTCCACCCCCGGCAGGCACTCCTGACACTCCGCGGTCTCCCCACCTCATCCCGGTCTCTCCTTCCTCCCTTCCGTCTCTGGGCGCCCCGTCATCTGAACTTTCCCACTAACTTTCCCGCATCAGCCCTTCTCCTGAGGGCCAGCTCCCTGCCCAGAGAGCAGCTCTTGATGTCTGCCGTGGGTCTGACAGGGCCCAGGCCAGACGTGAGTGCATTTCAGCAGATGCCCGCGGGCTCACTGTGCCGAGAGCCCAGTTCCTCCGTCGTGTCCTGGGTCCTAGGACTGTCCCGCGACACCTTGAACATCCAGGTTCTCACCTGTCCCCAGTTGCCTGAGTCCTCCTAAGTTAGCATCCCCACAGGAAGGGCTGGAAAATACACATTTTCCAAAAGCGTCCTTCTCCTGAAGAAGGGCATGGCAACCCACTCCAGTGTTCCTGCCTGGAGAATCTCATGGACAGAGGGGCCAGTGGGCTACAGTCCATGGGGTCACAAAGAGTTGGACACGACTGAGCAAGTGACACTTCACTTCAAAAGCATCTTCGCTCTTTGTAACAATGGCAGACTTCTAACAAAACCAAGCTTCAGAAATCCCAAATTTCTCCTTTCATTCTTGCCATGACTCTCAGTTACCGATGAGGAAACAGGGCCTGGAGGGGGAACGTGCCCGCAGTTAAGCCACAGAGGCCGCTTCAGACCCTGCGGTGGTGAAGGGGGGAGACGCTGGGGGTTGCGGGAGCTCAGGGTCTCCGGGCAGCCTGGGGTCCCCCTCACACCCACGTCCATCCCTCCTCTTTCAGTCTTGGTGATAAACTGTCACCATAAAGAGCTGTTTTCCAGAGATGGCTGTGTCGATGTGCTAGACCACAAGGGGCGTGTTGCTGTGAGGACCTGGGTTGAGGGGACAAAGGTCACCCTGCTGTTTTCGAGACTCCCCGTCCCGTTACGGGTGGGCTCGGGATCTATGCTATCGACGCAGAGCAGCTCTGCAGTGGCTTTCAGAACAGTCAGTATCCTTACATTTCATGTAAAAAGAAACTGTGCCATTAGGTGTTAAATACATGTTTGATGTTGTTTTTAGTTGCTAAGTCATGTCAGACCTTTTGTGACCCCGTGGACTGCAGCCCGCCAGGCTCCTCGGTCCATGGGATTTCTTGGGCAAGAATACTGGAGTGGGTTGCCATTTCCTTCTCAAGGGCATCTGTCTGACCCAAGGATCGAGCCCGCGTCTCCTGTATTGTGGGCAGATTCTTTATCACTGAGCCACTTGGGAAGCCCAGCTACATAAATAAATAAATACTAAATAAAAATAATTTTTAATCTCTGGGCCTGTATTACAGGCAAAAGTGCATAAGAAGGAAATGATCACGTCAGTTTTCTGAGAACTAGCATATTAAATGAAAGTGTAATCATTGCTATATGTTTGTTTGATGTAGATTCAAAGGTGGAATCACCACAGATGTAATTAGAGTAATTATTAAAGTCTGCATTTAGTCCAGAAGCCCCAGGGAATACTGCACATTCATTCATCTGAGCCTGAAATATTTCCGATGAAAATCTGAGCTGCCTCCCAAATCACCTGCCTGTCTGCCCTGTAGGGAGTGGCGGTTTGGGGGACACCTCTGAGGCAGGGCTTGCTACTTGCAGACACCGTCTAAGAGGCAGCATTCATCCTGCCAGGACTGTCTTTCTTTGCTTTCACGAGAACCGTGTATTTCCCTGAATTACGTCCTGAGGCGAGAAGGCTGCAGGCCAAGCGTTCTCAGAGACCAGACTCCTGGCCGCTGCTCCTACCAGACGTCCTGCAGGTCGATAGCAGAGTTGAAACCCCCACAGTGAAAGTTAATCGCCTTCTAGAACCGAAGCTCACTTCTGAGTGACCGTGTCCTGAAAATAACTGATGGGAAAAAATACACGAAACCACAGAGGGCTTTAATTTACTACTGGGCTCCGTCGCTTCAGTCGTGTTGACTCTGTGCGGTCCTGTGGACGGTAACCCGCCAGGCTCCTCTGTCCATGGAATTTCCCAAGTGAAAATACTGGAATGGGTGGCCATGCCCTCCTCCAAGGGATCTTCCCAACCCAGAGATCGAACCCACATCTCCTCTGTCTCTTGCACTGGCAGGCGGATTCTTTACCACTGAGCCACCCCGGAAGCCAGTAATTCACTATTAGCTTGTTGAGTTCTGATCATCTTATATAAGCCTACATACTTCAGTAAAAAGGCAGCTGTATCCTTCAGCTTGGATCAGAAAGGACGATGGACTTGCTTCTTAGGGGTCTGTGTCTCTCACTGTGTTTGTCTTCAAGTCTCGGCTCTCGTGCCCCTACCTATGATCACTGCTGCTCTGGGATGAGACTGGATGGGATGCAAGGTCCACGGCCCCATCCCTCCGGTGCTGTCCTTCAATACAAAGGGATGATTCGATCAGGAAGTCCATCAGCAGATGTTTACTGAGCCCCTGGGAGCCTGAGGTCCCAACACCATGAAGAAGCGTGAAAAATTGTTGCTGCCCTGCAAAAAAAAATAATCAAGTGGGAAGTTGGGACAAGCACATAGTTTTTAAAAAACCAAGTTATGTGAAGCAGGGACCCGGGAGGACCCCACGGCCGTGAGCCGGCACCAGAGACCGCTGCTTTGTCCCTTCTTCCCACACTCCGGCACGCGAGCTTCCCCAAGTCAACTGAAAGTGCCAGAGACGGTGAGTGTTTCCCGGGTTCTCCAGATTCTTGGGATAGAATTCCAGACAACCTGGGCTACCAGGAGCAGCCTGCCTTCCCGGGGCACCATCTTTGAGCTGTGTTTGGGAGCACATGGGCTGAACGCTGTCTTGGGTTGGAAAGACACAGGAAGGCTACCCCGTTACAATCGCAAAAGGGCACCAGCTCCCCCCACGGTCTGTATCTTTAGAGACTGGCCACATCCCTCTGTGGTCTCCACGGGAGTCCAGTGGCACAAGAGATGTGTGGTTCCAGGATGAACTAGCTTCATTTCTGCTCATCGCCTTTGAAGTACAGAAGAATACTCAAATACAGTGAGAGAATAAACCGTAAGTCTCCTGCTTGGTGAACATGTTGGTGTTACGTCCTCATCAAGCTTGTCACGAGTCTTTTTTTTTGCGCTGATCTATCCAGGTGTTGGTCACTTTATTCATTCAACCCCACACTGTTGCCTGTTTCCGTGCAAGGCGCCACAGAGCCCCAGAGACCCGCAGATGGCCAAGGTTTGCCGCTGTCTTCAGGGGACTTGTAGGCCCGCGAGACTGCATGGCCGAGTGCCTCCATCAGAGGCCGACTTGGCTCCAGGGAAGGAACAGCCCCTGGCCGAGGAGTCTAGGGGGACCCATGGCCAGGTTGGCCCTGCAGGCAGCCTTGACCCCCTCGTGTGCAGCGGGCACCAGGGCCAGTGGACTCTCTCCTGGATAACTGCTGTGAGAACCAGCCTTTTTTAGAAGTCAGCATTATGACTACAGTCTTATCCCCCAATGTTCTTTCCCACTTTTTTTCTGTTCTGTTCAAATAGATCTCGGTAAAATTACCAGGCACGCCCCCCATCCACACGCTCCCATGCAGCTCTCAGCAGAGCAGCGAGATCCTTCTCATTTCCCCCTCATTTACTTTCACATCTCTCACCTTTGTCAATTAACAGCAGATCCTAACTGCACATAAAAGAAATGCTAGCGCCTTTTAATTTCAATCCCAGTTGATTTGACGTCCAAGTTTATACTGTTATTTTGTAGTTCTAGCGACGGGGGCAATTGAGATTCAGAAAATTTCATCCAGAGGTGCCACATTTGCATTTCAAGAGTAGTCGTTAGTGAATAGAGTTTATACATTCGCTCTTGAATGAAAACAGCGGTGGCAGAGGCAGCGTTAAAGCAGCTGGTAAGGATGCCCAGGCCACCTCATAGCAACCGCCAGGTTTCCAAGGGCAAATAGCTCCTTCCGACCCTAAGCAACTAGACGGGAACATCAAAACATGCCTCGCACCAGACCTCCAACGCCCATTAGTGTTAGGAGCTGTTACCTCCATCATGAGTGACAGAGCCCTAATTATTAAGGTAATTAGAAGTTATAACACTGGCAATATTAAAGGGAGAACTTCTAGAGCCCATTAACAATGTTACTTTAAGTGATCTGGCTGTGAACTGTTCAAATCTCTAATTACATTATACGTCTATCTTAAAGGGTGATGTAATTAAGTGATGGTGAGGGGATTAGTGTATACTGACTGCTGCTAACACTCCTAAGTACTATTTTCACAGGATCTGGCTGCAGCAACGTCATTTCGTTTTCTGCCACTTGACCGTATATAGTGTGTAGCTGAAAAAACCTGACCTTGGTGTGTTTACGTGTATTTTACGCCCAGATGTTTGTCTTCTTTCCTCCCCTATTGAATGTGTTTCTTTATATTTATGGCAAATTCATCTACACCCAGTTAAAGATAAACCTTTAGTTTATACACAAAATATAGATTCTATTTTTTGATACATAAAAACATTTAAATGTTATGCCTGCCTCTCCACGACTGAATCAATTGTTCTGGAGATACAGAGCTATAGGAAAACCTTCAATAATTAATAAACTGTAGCATTTTTTTTCTTTTGTGACCCAAGCAATGCATTTTATACTGGACCTATCATTATATCTTAGTTTTCTACAATTTCTCATGAACTTTTATTTAAGATTCAGTAAGATTGGCTTATTTATCATAAGCCACGCATGCATGCTAAGTCACTTCAGTTGTGTCCGACTCTTTGCAATCCTATGGACTGTAGCCCACCAGGCTCCTCTGTCCACGGAATCCTCCAGGCAAGAATACTGGAGTGGGTTGTCATGCCCTTCTCCAGGGGATCTTTCCGACCCAGGGATCAAACCTGCCTCTCTTACATTGGCAGGCAGGTTCTTTACCACAAGTGCCACCTGAGAAGCCTCTATCATAAGCCATATTTGATCAAAATGAGTTGGTTTTGAGAAATTAGACTTCCAAAAAAGACAATATTTCAAGTTGCCTTCATGGAGAGCTTCATTTTTTATTTTACAAATCATCTTTCATTTAGAAATCATCTACTAATTCATTATATGCCGATAATGTGAGAATATGGAAAATGACAGATAATGAAAATAATGAAGGATATTGTCTTCATTTAAAGTCAGGCCTCATGCAGGGAACCCCCAGCAGGTGCTCTGTGACAATCTGGAGGG